ACACATAACTACTGTCCATACTGTCGTACGAAGTTTTCTTATGAAGAGACTGATGATGGTACGAGTGACTCTCCTTGCCCGATGCCTTGTCCCTCGAGGTGAGCAGATGCATACCATGTCCTGTTGCGGGATGTACCGTCCTTAGCGTCATGACGTTCTCCTACCGTCGGCTTGTTTGCTTGGAGTCGTACGTTTGGAGAGACTTTATTTCCCTGCCGATCTCTCTTGTACAACGGTCTCCACCTCTGAGGCCTCCCGCGAAGAAGTGCTCTTCGTTGCCTTCAATAGCTCCTGCTCCGCAGCCAGTGGAAGCAGCCATGTCTCTGGGAACGATGTTATGGAAGTCATAGTGGAGTTATATAACTTAAAGCTCGATGCTTGCACTACATCCAAGGCAGTCCATTCTCGACTTGGCATCACCAAATAGTGTCACCATCAGTATGGATAGAACTACTCCAGATTCGTATGCTATACACTTTCCCTTTCTAGTACCCTAATCTAGCAACACATTTACGATAGGTCAATTAGTACACTCATACTGGACCGCAGCAGTGTTGTCAATACTCACCGAAAGGCTGTACATGACTGGGGATATTATAGCGTTTACACAGTGGGCCTAAGGTGGCACACGTAGGGAAAGATGGGAAAGTTATTTCCCTCTGAAGGGAAAATGAAGGAAAGATAAGGAAAAATGAAATTTTCTCTCAGCCTGCCACGTCTGGCAAGCCCGAACATCACTGCCCGATTTGGTCAAGCTGCAAACATACGCTCTGCACTCACAGATATTTATGATAGATCCAATGGGCCACAAGCTTCCCAGATCGTGACAAAATTTCAGATTCATGAAATGTCCACACTGAGGGAAACTCGGGCGCGGAGTGCAGTGCACTCGTCCGTAACCAAGAGCCATGGTCCACGATCAATGCTGATCAACCAGTTCTGCCTCTACGTCGCGTTATGTTGTGCTGTAGATAACTGAGCGAATATCGACACCACGTTTATCGTCGAACCAGAACGTGGGCATTTCTAGAGAAAAAACTGAAGCCTAGTTGAAAGTGCGCATCGCATTCTTGCTCGCCACAAAAACCTTCGGTCATTCGGGCGAATTTTTCTTCTCCGTTATCATTCTAACCAATCCATGAATACAACTATGTACTCCAGACGGCATTTGCCGAGATATCTTCCATTCTTCGACTTTTTGTGGCAACTTTTGCCTTTCTCTACTTATCTTTATTTTTCCTTGTTTCTCCATATTTGTCCTACCCGAAACACTTTTCTAAATTTCCTTCATTTTTCCGAAAGAAATACAAGGGAATATTTCGTGCCACCCTAACTAGGCCTTCTCGACGGAGTGACGGAGCTAGCTCGCTATGTGCCACGTGCTCTGCTGACTCCGGTGTAAAACTTGATGAGTTTAGACGCTTTGCCGTGCTCGTCCCTCTAGCGCGGGATAGGTCTCCGGCGCGATAATGAGCTGAATTGCAGCATGTAGCTTCCCTTGCTTCACTCGCTTCGGAATCATATTTCCCGGTCCACTCCGAGTTAGTAACGCAACAAGGCCGACGATAATGCAAGTTCTCGTGAAGGACGACTATGGCGGCGAGGAGCTCTCTTGTCGCCGAGAAGCCGCCACTGTCATATCGAGAAAGGCCCAATGAAATCAAATGGGGGCAACTGGGGAGTTTACGACCACCAATGCATCCATGCACCGTATCGTAATATCTCGTGAAAATACCACAGTGAACAGGGTGACGGGCGGGTCAGGAACCCATAGTACTGTGTAACCGCTGGGGATCACAAAAAAAGAAAACGTCTATCAAGGTTATAAAGCCGTTGATTCCCAGTGGTCATTAGCGAGGGAAAAGAAATTGGAAAATATTATTCGGTAGTGGTGGCTAGATCGTCCGCCGCAGCACTTGGACGCTTATGTAGCCATAGGTTATACTCCCTCCCATTCACTTTCACGACGATCAACCCTTCTCTGGCGCTGTACGGTACATCAGTCCAGTCCTTCAGAGTGAAGTAGTTGGGATATCGATCGAACAGTGCCTGTCCCCATATAGGAACCACCTGAATCATCGAATGGGAAACTGAGTTGGCGAAATCTAGATGGAGGTGTTCATAGGGTCTCTTGTAATAATGCCATATGATACCGTTTACCTGAGGTCGTTCAGGAATGAAGCTTTCATGAAAGTCTAACTGGGCCATCCCACTGTCGGTAGGATGCTCTGGGTGAGGGTTGAACAGACCGAAGCGTATGAGCCATTGATCGCCAGGAAGGGGCATTTTGTTCTCATACCCGAAATAGAAGCCTTCTATGGGTAGACCAGTGACAACTTTCACAAAAGCTATCACGTAGATGCTGATCATTGGTGGGATTAAATGACCAGGAGCTAGGCCCTAGCTGCTAGGGACGAAGATCATACACATATGATGATGGAATGCGACAGCGCTCCAAAGACGGCAGCAGTACCAAAAAGCCCCCCTAAACTCATCCACCCCTGCCATGGAAACAGTGAAGATTCAACAATTACTTTTGGGATTCACATGGTGCTCCGATGCTACCTTCAAATATCTCAGCATCATATCCCCTGAATGTTGTGTGAGCTTCAGGCTGAGTGTTCTTTGCCTTGATGCTGTGGAAGAGTCATCACATACGCCTCTCCTTTCAACTGCAGCGTGACTTCTTCCAAGTTCTTATCATAACGAGCTTGTGCGCATTCCTTTGGATCCACATCATAACGCTCGAAGAAGGCTTGAGCCCATGTTGGCGTCGTCTGCTCCATGCTGCAGAAACTGGCATTGGTATAATCGAGTTTGATGTTGTCCTCATCTTCCGCGACGTAGGTCCATCTGATGCCTCCTAGATGTGGTTTGTCAGTGAAAATGCAACTTTGAAGATCCAGGGTTGAGAGTCCCTCCGGACCCTTCTCGCTTGGATGTGGATAAAACAGACCAAACCTGACCATTTCACGTTCTTCGCTGTCGGGCATGCGGCCTCCTCGCCAAATGTAGATTCCTTCGGTGGGCAGATCCTCCTGTTGGGTCATAGAACGAAGATTTATGGTATTGAAAAAAGGACTAATGTTGTCGGGTCTCGTAGGAGCCGTAGTTGGCAAGGATCATCCTTGGAAGAGGTCGAGGACTGTTGCTTGAGCAGACGTGTCTGAAGTGCCGTCACACTACGCACGCATACCCATGCCGACCCTGCACGGATGTGCATACGTGCAGCACAATGTACTGCAGCATGCATGTCAGCTTGAATCTCCTTACCCTCCACCATTGCGATCGAGTTCGTGAGGGCACATCTTATCGGATGATGGATAGGAAACATAGTGAGCAAGTGGGGTTCCAGTTCTGCTCATATCTCTCATAGCTTACCACAGGAGTCCTCGCTGTGATTCGAATGAGCAGGTTGAGCTGATGATGCCGATTGCGAGCTAGAGTTGAATTGCCTTGGGTTAATGTCACTTCATCATTCTCAAATATGCAACGCCATCTTATCGTCACGGTGTGATCTTAGCTTAAGATTGTACACACTGAGTTTGCTGACAGGATACAAGATGCTCCGAAGAGCATTAAGGCTTATAGAGAGTCGGGTCGTGAAAAGAGTAACATACCAGGGGAAAGTGAGCACCCGGCTTATGCAATGGCCACTAGATTAGCTCGTCTCTTGTAAAGGTTCACTTTTGGACCATGCGAATTCATTCACAAGAGAAGCACAAGTGTCAGGTGTTCGTAGTCCTCAGTTCTTGCACATGCTCCTGTCCGAGAGGCTCCACTGACAAAGTACTTGCTTGCCCATTGATAATTACTTTTGCGATAACAGATGGCAGGCTCCTGGGCTCGGCGATAGCTTCCCAGTACTTTGTATACATGAACTGGCTGTCCGCATAGTTACTAGCCTACCGGAGGCATCGGACTACATAATAGAAGAAGATGTAACTGATCCGACTCGTTCGGGAGACAGTAGCACAAGCTCAGATACCGGACATGTCAACCTGGGCCAATATATTGGTTGCAGACTTCGGCATTTATCGCACATAGCCACTACAGTTCTCATGATCATTCATTGGTCTTA